TGACTCCATGCCGGTCGCCGACGAAATCTTCAACGGATAATAATTTTCGGCAGGTCACCGGAATAACCCGGGACAACGAGATCTAATTCCACGATTAGAGGATTTTAGGTAAGCATGTAGATACTGAAAATTAAATCTTCTCTTCGTTCGTTGGAGAGATTCGTATGATTATGGTTTTCGGATCTGGGCGCGTTTTTCAAATTTCAGTTTTGGGGAGCTTTAGTTTTGAATTCGGATATAGTTTCTCTTGAATTCGTAATCATCAATTGGGGATTTTGTCCGTTTGATTGGTTTTTTTCATAAGTTGCCTTTGGCTCGGATTTTAGGATCGATCTCATGTTAATCCTATACGATTCTATTTGGATCGAAGAAGAAAAAAGATGCGATTTTGACATTTCTTTAATACATTTTTTTTTTCTAGATTCTGACATTGTTATCCATTGATTTCAGTGATTCATACTGATTGATTGACTTTGGGAGCTAGAAGATTATCAACTCCAGTTGTTTTGGGTAAAAGATTTGACGATGTGGTGTAATTGTTTTTGATTTTTTGATCGTTTTCATGATTTATGCACTATGACTAAGGGCTTCTTTGCAGGCTATATTTGCATTCATAATTTTTTTTTTGTGAAATGCGATGCTAATTGTGTGTTTACTGAAAAAGAATGAGGAAGCCCATTGTAAACGATTGGTATGCATTTGATGTGTTGGAAGTAAGTGTTTTCACTCTAGTTGAATGACTTATGTATGGGAATATAAATTGATGTATAAAACTGTATTTATAAGGTTTTTGTAAGGTTTATAAGGTATTTTATATTATAACGTTTAATATAAAACTGTCTTTATAAGGTTTTTGTATGTTTTAATGTAAAACTGTATTTACAAGGTTTTTGTAAGGTTTATAAGATATATTTTTTTTGTTTATAAGATTTGATATAATACTGTATTTATAAAGTTTTTGTAAGGTTTATAAGGTATTTTTTATTATAAGATTTGATATAAAACTGAATTTATAAGGTTTTTGTAAGGTTTTTGTAAGCTTTAATGTAAAACTACATTTATAAGTTTTTGTAAGGTTTATAAGATATCTAATTTTTTATAAGATTTGATATAATACTGTATTTAT